AAGATATTTGTGTCTCACGTGAATGCTCACCAAAGGGTGACCTTGAAGACGAAGATTTTAATAATCAAGCGGATTGGATGACTCGTTCTGTGGAAACAAATCCTCTTTCCCCAGCCACTCCTGTCATTGCCCAAATGAGCTCATGAACCAAGTGGCCATGGTGGCAGGGATGGAAGTTACGCATGGGCTCAGCAACATGGACTTCCGCTCACCAAGGCTGACTTGGCTGCAGCCACTGCTGAATGCGCAATCTGCCAGCAGCAGAAACCAACACTGAATACCTGATATGGCACCATTCCTTGAGGCAATCAGCCAGCTACCTTGTTGCAGGTTGATTATATTGAACTGCTTCCATCATGGAAAGGGCAGAGTTTCATTCTTACGGGATAGATGCTTACTCTGGATACAGATTCACCCTTCCTGAGCACAATGCCTCTGCCAAAACTCCAAGGACTCACAAAATGCCTTATCCACTGTCATGATATGCAAACAGCATTGCCTTGGATGAAGGGACTCACTTCACAGCAAATGAAGTATGGCAATGGGTACGTGCTCATGGAATTCACTAGTCTTACCGTATTCCATATCATCCTGAAGCAGCTGGCTTGATAGAACAATGGAATGGCCTTCTAAAGACACCGTTATGGTGCCAGCTAGGTGGCAACACTTTGCAGGGCTGGGTAATGTTCTCCAGGAGGCTGAATATGCTCTAAAACAGTGTCCAATATATGGTGATGTTTCTCCGATAGTCAGGATTCATGGTTCCAGGAATCAAGGGGTGGAGATGGGAGTGGCACTACTATTACCTCTAGTGACCCAGTTGCAAAATGTTTGATTCCTATCCCCGCAACCCTATGCTCTGCAGGTCTAGAGGTCTTAATTCCAAAGGGAGAAGTGTTCCCACCTGGAGACACAAGATAGATTCCACTGAACTGGAAGTTTAGAATGCCACCTGGCCTCATTGGGCTCCTCAAGTCTCTGAATCAACAGGCAAAGAAAGGAGTTAACATATTGGCTGGTATTATTGACCCTGACTACCAAATCAGATTGATGTTGCATAATGGAGGTAAAAAAGAATACATCTGGAATACAGGAGATCCCTTAGGGTGTCTCTTAGTACTACCATGCCCTGTGATTAAAGTCAATGGAAAACTACAGCAACCTATTTCCAACATGACTAATGACCCAGACATTCAGGAATGAAGGTTTTGGTTACCTCACTGGGCAAAGAACCACGACCAGCTGAAGTGCTTACTGAGGGTAAAGGGAATACGGAATGGATGGCATAAGGAGTTCTAAATACCTGTTATGACGTGACCAGTTGCAGAAACAAGGACTATAATTGTTACATGAGTATTTCCTCCTCAAATATTTTTGTTTTCTTCACTTATAAAGATGTAAACAGGGCTAGTACATTTTTGGTTGTACACGTTAGGTGCAAGTATGACTTTTTATTTAGAGATTGTGTATGGTTTAAGGATATGTGTACAGGTGCCAAGTTGATAGGGTGGCCTGGGATGGTTACGGTCGTGTGTCAATCTGGCTGGAGCATGATTCTCAGTGGTTTGGCAGTTATGTAATTATGTAGTTTAGCATTTAGGTAATGGTGTGATTTGGCAGGTATTTAATGATGTAGTCATCCTCCATGATATGTCAGCTATCAGCCAATCAGTTGTGAGTTTCCTCAGAGGTGTGGCCTGCATCCATACATATGTGGATGTTCTGGCAAAACTCGCTTGCTTTGGATCCTGCATCTGGCTCATCATGATCTGCCAGTTCTTGGGACTTGAGCCAGAGGCCTGCCATCTTACCTGCCCATCTTGGATTCATCACTCTTGGCAGCCGGTGAGCCACTTCCCTACTGTCTGACGTTGGGTTTGATCTTGGGTTTGTCAGCCCCCGCAGGTACCTTAAGTCAGAAGCCTCTGGCCTAATGCCTGACCCACAGACTTGGGACTTGCCAGCCTCTACTACCACGATCCATGACCTTGAGATAATCTATGTATGTATATATATGGACACGTCAATGGTTTTGCTTCTCTAGAGAACCCAGCCTAAGACAGATGGTGTCCTTTTAACATGAGATCTGACTTAGCTTCAGGTCAAAGGAAGAAGTGCTGATGGACAGCTGGTGTCAGAACTCAATAGAGAAGTGAAAAGTGGAGGATTGTTATACATTTATAGTTGGTATCAGGAAAAAATGGATTTGATATGTTCACGATTAGTTTCACAATGTCACTGAATTGCACACATAAGGGTGAATTGGCAAGTGTTGTTATACATATTTTTACAATTAAAAAAATGAGGGGAGGAGAATGAGAACACAAATCCAATGAGGTTGGAGAGAGTAGTGTGGAATTCTAAATTTCATCCAAAAATTTAAGTAGGAGTATTAAGAAATTTAAAGGGATGAAAGGCTGGCTTTCACTGGGAAACAGGCTGAGAGTAACACAGTTCAGTATGCAGCCTTATATTCTCTATTTCAGTCCTGCTTCTTAAACCCAGTCTTTACTGTGTCTGGTGTCCCTGACTGCAGAGCATCTTTAGTCCAGTTCTCCAGAGAATAAACCTCTAGTCTCCTCTGGGATGAGTGAAGGTGGTAATGAGACGGAGAACGGCATGAGAGGGAAGCATGTGTGTGTGGTAAACTGCTGCATGGGTAGGTGAGAGGACCTAGAGATCTAAACACAGAATTGCAACCAATCCCCATTTTCAGTCCCTCGTCTTCCATGATGCTCTGTGCCTCCAATGCCTCAGCCTTTCCAGGAACCATCCTCTTGTCCATATACTCTTCTGCACACTCTTCTTCTAAAGTAGTCACCACTCTTGTTTTCTCACTACAAAAAAATTGTTGATATCTTGTGTCTAGTGATGTATCCTCACACAGTCTTTTATCATCCCCCATTTTTTTAAAAATGGTTTGCAAAACAAAATTAAAACAAAGATAAACTCATGTGGTTAACTTTTTCTTTTAGCAAATTAACTTTAAAAGTACTCTTCTCTCTTAAAATCATGTCAGCTAAATTATTAGTTCTTAGAAGCCTATAAATCTCAGTTCTTTTGCAAGGGGAAAAAAAGGAAAACCTAAAAGGATAAGATTTTCTCATCTATAAAATCTAGGTAGTAAAGCATAGGAATTGCATTTCTGTATTTTCATCATGGTTACATAGTTCAATTCAATACAAGAAATCTTTATTGAGTCCCTAATGTGTGCCAGGCACTGTTCTAGGCACTTGTGATACATCAGTGAACAAAACAGTGATCTCTGCCCTTATGCAACTTACATTCTAGTAGGGGGAGAAAGTAGTAAACAGTAAGTATAATAAATATTTAGTATGTTAGGTGATATATGCTACTGAAAAAGAAAAAAGAGCAGGCTATGGGAGTTTAGGGGTGCTGGAGTTTCAGCGTAAGGAACAGGCTGCAATATTACATAACACGGCCAGGATAGGCTTCAATGAGAATGCAACCTATGAGCAAAGATGAGAAGAGTGTAGCACATCTGGAGGAACAGTAAGTGCAAACGCTGTAAAGCAGGAGTGAGGCTGAAGTTCCGGAAAGAGGTCTGGGCTGGAGACACACTTTGGCAGTTATTAGCATAGAGATAGTATTTTGAGCCATAGACTAGATGAGATCACTGAGGCAGAAAAGGTAGAGAGAGAAAAGTGATAGTCATGCCTTTCATTGGAAGATGCAAAGAAAAGCCACAGAAATACAGTAGAATACAAGAAACTGTGTATCCCCACTCTTTTTGTCCACTAAAGTCATACAAGGACTTAAGATTTAGACAGGCCAGTAAAAAATAAATACAGTAATAGGAAAACGTAGACATAATGGTATATAGTCTGGATTTAGTTTTACTTTTGAGTTTGCACTAAAAATGCTCAGACATTGATCTGTTTATTGTATCATTCTGCCACATAAGGCAGTAGTAAGTTGAACTTGATCTATCTCCAATTATGTTTGGAAGAATGCAGTATCTATTTCACTAAGTACAGTGAAGTACTATGGGTCGGCTCCTCTACTTCCTTTCCATATTTACCTGCCTCAATATGGCACTTACAGTCACACTCTTCTGGTGCCTGACCCTCTTTGATGAGCCTTTTGATGCGTTCTTCTGGCCAGTAACTTAGAGACTCTTCTACTAACAGAAAGAGCATTTTCAAATCTAATATTATATGCTAGGCAAAGTAAAAAATAAAATAAAACTGCAGCTACCAACTTCAATATATCTATCCTCAAAAAGGCATCAACATGTATTAAGGAATTATGGTTAATATTTTAAATGTAATAATTGCACTGTGGTTATGTTTTAAAAGAGTGCTTATCTTTTACAGATAGATCCCAAAGCATTTAGGAATGAACAAAAAAGGCATCATTACGGACTGAAGTCTGCATAAATGTCTCCATAAATACACTCTCTCCTCACTTACTGACATGGTTAGGTTCCAAAGACCAGGTGGTTATGTGAAATCAGTGTTATGTGAAAATGGAGGATGGCCACATCAGATTACAAAATGGAGAATGACTACATTATATAATTGCCAAATTACATCATTATGTAACTGCCAAACCACTGAGAATCATGGCCCAGCCAAGCTGACACATAACCTTAACCATCTAAGCCAGCACGTTGGCGTTCGTTATTGCCAGATATACGTCATTAATGGGCAAAATAGTCAGATTTTTCACTATTGTCATAAACGTGAAAATGTCGGATAACGAGACAGTCAATAAGTGAGGAGGGGTAACTCCTACGCCCCCACGACAGCATTACAAGGATGATTTTTTAAAAACTACTGCAATAGTAGAAGAATTGCTAAGGAAATAAGATTTGTGCCATAACTATATACTAATTCTACATTAACCAAAACCAAACTCACTGCTGTTGAGTCAATTCTGATTCATAGAAACCCTATAGGACAGAGTACAACTGCCCCATAGGGTTTCCAAGGCTGTAATCTTTTATGGAAAGCAGACGGCCATATCCTTCTCCTGCAGAGCTGCTGGTAGGTTCAAACTGCCAACCTTTTGGTTAGCAGCCAAGCACTTAACCACAGTACCACCAGGGCTCCTTTTAATTTAACATTAAATGATAATTATTCTGTTGCCATTATTAGATTTACGTACCTTATAGCAGAGGTGGCAAACTACAGCCCTCAGGCCAAACAAAGCCCACCACCTGCTTTTGTAAGTAAAGGTTTTAACTAGAACACAGCTATACCCATTCATTTATGTCAGTGGTTCTCAAGTACGGACAATTTTGCCCCCTAGAGGACATCTGACAATTTCTGGAGACATTTCTGGTTGTCAAAATTGGGGTGGGGGTGCTACTGGCATATAGCACTGGCATCTTGTGGGTAGAGGCCAGAAATGCTGCTGAACATCCTACAATGCACAAGACAAAGTATTATCTTGCCCAAAATATCAACAGTACCAAGGTTGAGATACTTCGGTTTTTGTTATTGTCTCTGGATGATTTCACACTACAATAGCAGAGCTGAGTAGTAATGACAGAGACCATATGGCTTGTAAAGCCTAACATATTTACCATGTGACCCTAACAGAAAATCTGCCGACCATTGTTCTATAAGAAACCACAAAATATAAACAAGTATTTCATGTACAGATTATCTTATCAATTCTAGGAAACTCCCTTTAACATTATTTCCTCTAGAACTGAGTCAACTAACATTTTTATACCCTTTCTAGCCATGTAAAACCAAAAACTAAACCAAACCTGTTGCTGTTGAGTCAATTCCAACTCACAATGACCTACAGGACACAGTAGAACTGCCCCACAGAGTTTCCAAGGAGTGCCTGATGGATTCGAACTACCAACCTTTTGGTTAGCAACCGTAGCTCTTAACCACTATGCCACCAGGGTTTCCAGCCATGTAAAAGGACTATAGTACTAGGCTATACTTTATGTTATTGATGCATTAAAGGGATATTTAAAACTGTGATTTTTTAAAAAGCCAATCAACAAACTGCTCATCAGCCACAATGAAGTTCTCACTGGCCTACAGTGAAATGAGAAAAGTAAAGACAAATCTGGAAGAATTTCATAAAGCTGACTTAATTCAATATAAAGGGCTGTTCTTTATACTGATTATATCCTTCCTACATTTTTAAATATCAAAATGCCCTTTTTCTGAAACAATGCTGATAACAGATGGTAGTTTTTTAATATGGCAAAATCTATACTCGGAAACATTGTGTCAAAACATCTTTTCAAAAAATATTGTGGGTTCTTAAAATCCAAAAGTCAGAACCACTGATTTACAGGTTTTTGCTCCAATGTGGATCCTTTGATGTTGAGTATATTTCATGTATCATTGCTGAAGGTATTTCTTAAATGTGTTTTGCAGTGTCTAATAAGTGATGAACTACAGCTGAAAGCTTTTCCACATTCATTACAATCATAAGGTTTTTCTCCAGTATGAATTCTCTGATGTTTAGCAAAGGATGAATCATGCCTAAAGGCTTTCCCACAATGACTGCATTCATAAGGTTTCACTCCGGTATGGACTCTCAGATGGATAGAAAGATGTATTCTCTGGCTAAAAGCTTTACCACATTCCTTGCATTTATATGGCCTTTCCCCAGTATGAGTTCTCTGGTGTTGAGTTAGGTATGTGCTATGGCTAAAGGTTTTACTGCATACGTTACAAATATAGGGTTTCAAACCACTGTGAATAATCTCATGTTGCCTAAGGTGTCTAATCTGGAAAAACGCTTTTCCACAATCTTTGCATATAAAAGGTTTTTCTCTAACATGAGTTCTCAGATGCTGGATCAGCCCAATGCTCTGGCTGAAGGCTTTCTCACATACACCACATTCATAGGGCTTCTCCCCAGAATGAATTCTAAGATGTTGAGTAAGGGATGAAGGATGCCTGAAGGTTTTACCACATTCCTTACATTCATAGGGTTTTTCACCAGTATGGATTCTCCGATGTGGAATAAGGGATGAACTTTGGCTAAAGGCTTTTCCACATTCCTTACATCTGAAAGGTTTTTCTCCAGTATGAATTCTCATATGCTCAGTAAGGTGAATGAGCTGTTTGAATATTTTTTCACAAATACTACATTCAAAGCTTTTCACTTTTGCATAACTCCTTGTATGATTAATCAAATCTAAATCGTATCTGCTTCTCTTTCCAGATGTGTCATATTTAGGGTCTCTTTTTCTTAGAGGTCCTGGAGTAGCTTTTGAGCTCCCATGAATACTTTTCTCAAATCTGTTTGATTCTTGGCCTCTCTCCTGAGTGAGGGTTTTCTTGCGGATCAAGAGGACTTGCACCTCCCCCATTCCTTGGTTTTCCTGGTGACTTTTGAACTTATCACATTTGGAGACTTTTCCCAAGGTAGAGTACAAAGTGCTTCCTTTTGTGGACCTCTCCATCATCAGGCCATGGTGTAACTCTTTCCATGAAATGTCATTCTTTAAGGTTGACTCTTTGGTTTCTGTTTCATTCTCCAAGTCTGAAACAAATTTTAAAAATACAAGTAACTCATATTCAGGGCACTTTAAAAAATAAATTGCCATGATGATTATGGGGAGTAAAAAAAAATAACATATACTAGGTTCAGGAGGCTTGGACTGCTTTCACGTATGATCCTGCTACCTATAGAGCTGATATGAAAGGAGGGAAAGAAGTGGTGAGGAGAAAGAAGCTGTTAAAAGTACATGAGGTGACTTAACAAAATTGGGAGGACCACATCCATGTGAACTGCAAGGGGAAAGGGACTAAGAAGGAGCACTGTTGTAAGGGCAAAATCAAGAGAGAAGATTAAGGAATATAGGATTCTAGCACCAATATGGGATCTCAAGCCCACGTTTTTGTGCTAAAATTTTATCTCAAATACTTATTAAAATAAAATACTAAACAATAAAGGAATGTGTTCACTAAAAAGGGAAAGCCTGTTCCTATCCATTTCCATTCCTCTCAATCTCTAGATTTGGAATGTATCCGTTAGGACATTGTTATGGATTGAATTATGTCCCCCCAAAATATGTGTTGTAAATCCTAACCTCATGCCACTCGTCTGTCAGTCTGTCATACTGTGGTGGCTTGCGTGTTGTTGTTATGCTGGAAGCTATGCCACTAGTATTTCAGATAACACCAGGGTCACCCATGGTGGACAGGTTTCAGCGGAGCTTCTAGCCTGAGACAGACTAGGAAGAAGGACCTGGAGATTTACTTCTAAAAAAATTGGCCAGTGAAAACCTTATGAACAGCAGAGAATACTGTCTGCTATAGTGCCAGAAGATGAGCCCCTCAGGTTGGAAGGCACTTAAAAGACAACTGGGGAAGAGCTACCTCCTCAAAGTAGAGTCAACCAAAATGACGTGGATGGGATAAAGCTTTCGGGACCTTCATCTGCTGATGTGGCACGACTCAAAAGAAGAAGAAACAGCTGCAAACATCCACTGATAACTGGAACGTAGAATGTACAAAGTATGAATCTAGGAAAACCAGCAGTTGTCAAAAAATAAATGGAACGCATAAAGATCAATATCCTAGGTATTAGTGAGCTGAAATGCATGGTACTGGCCATTTTCAATCAGACATTCATATAGTCTACTGTGCCAGGAATGACAAACTGAAGAAGAATGGCGTCGCATTATTGTCAAAAAGAATACTTCAAGCTATATCTTAAGTACAAAGCTGTTGGCGATAATATCCATACATCTACAAGGAAGACCAGTTAAAATGACGATTATTCAAATTTACACACCAACCACTAATGCAAAGGTGAAGAAATGGAAGATTTTTACCAACTTCTGCAGTCTGAAATTGATTAAACGTGCAATCAAGATGCACTGGTAATTACTGAAAGAACAGTAGTTGGAAAATATGGCCTTGGTGATAGAAACAATGCCGGAGATCGCGTGACAGAATTTTGTAAGACCAACCGACTTCATTGCAAATACCTTTTTTCAAAAACATAAATGGCAACACATGGACCTCACTGGCTGGAATATACAGGAATCAAATAGACTACATCTGTGGAAAGAGATGATGGGGAAGCTCACTGTCATCAGTTAGAACAAGGCCAGGGGCTGACTGCTGAAGAGACCATCAATTGTTCATGTGCAAGTTCAAGCTGAAGCTGCAGAAAATTAAAACGAGTGCACAAAAGCCAAAGTTCGACCTTGAGTATGTGCCACCTGAATTTAGAGACCATCTCAAGAATAGATTTGACACACTGAACGCTAATGACTGACGACCACGTTGTAGGATGACATCAAGGACCTCATACATGAAGAAAGCAAAAGGTCATTAAAAAGACAGGAAAGAAAGAAAAGGCCAAAATGGATGTCAGAAGAAACTCTGAAACTTGCTCTTGAATGTCGAGTAGCTAAAGTGAACGGAAGAAATGATGAAGTAAAAAGCTGAACAGAAGATTTCAAAGGGCAGCTTGAGAAGACAAAGTAAAGTATTACAACAAAATGTGCAAAGACCTGGAGATAGAAAACCAAAAGGGAACAACACACTGGGCATTTGTTAAACTGAAAGAACTGAAGAAAAAACTCAAGCCTCGAGTTGCAACACTGACGGATTTTATAAGCAAGATACTAAATGACCCAGGAAACATCAAAGCAAGATGGAAGGAATACACAGAGTCACTGTACCAAAAAGAATTGGCTGACATTCAACCATTTCAGGAAGTAGCATATGATCAAGAACTGATGGTATTGAAGGAAGAAGTCCAAGTTGCACTGAAGGCATCAGTGAAAAACAAGGCTCCAGGAATTGATGGAATACCAATTGAGATGCTTTGACAAATGGATGCAATGCTGGAAGCCCTCACTAGTCCATGCCAAGAAATTTGGAAGACAACTACCTGGCCAACCAACTGGAAGAGATCCATATTTGTGCCTATTCCAAAGAAAGGTGATCCAACAGAACACGGAAATTACCAAAAAATATCATTAATATCACACGCAAGTAAAATTTTGCTGAAAATCATTCAAAAGCAGTTGCAGCAGTACACTGACAGGGAACTGCCAGAAATCCAAGTCGGATTTCAAAAAGGACATGGAATCAGGGATATCACTGCTGATGTCAGATGGAACTTGGCTGAAAGTGGAAAATACTAGAAAAATGTTTACCTGTGTTTTCCTGACTATGCAAAGGCATTCAACTCTGTGGATCATAACGAATTATGGATAACATTGAGAAGAATGGCAATTCCAGAAAACTTAATTGTGCTCATGAGGAACCTATACACAGACCAAGAGGCAGTCATTTGAACAGAACAAGGGGACACTGTGTGGTTTAAAATCAAGAACAGTGTGCATTAGGGTTGTATCCTTTACCATACCTACTCAATCTGTATGTTAACCAAATTATGAGAAGCTGAACTATATGAAGAAGAATGGGGCATCAAGATTGCAGGAAGACTCATTAATAACCTGAGATATGCAGATGACACAACCTTGCTTGCTAAAAATGAAGAGAACTTGAAGCACTCACTGATGAAGATCAAAGACTACAGCTTTCAGTATGGATTACTAAAGAAAACGAAGATCCTCACAACTGGACCAATAAGCAACATCATGATAAATGGAGAAAAGATGGAAGTTGTCAAGGATTTCCTTTTATGTGGATCCATAATCAACACCCAAGGAATTAGCAGTCAAGAAATCAAATGACATATTGCATTGGGCAAATCTGCTGCAACAGACCTCTTTAAAGTGTTCAAAAGCAAAGATGTCACTTTGAGGACTAAGGTGTGCCTGACTCAAGCCATGGTCTTTTCAATCACCTCATATGCATGTGAAAGCATACATATGAATAAGGAAGACTGAAGAATTGATGCCTCTGAATTATGGTGTTGGCAAGAATACTGAATATACCATGGACTGCCAGAAGAGCAAACAAATCTGTCTTGGAAGAAGTACAGCCAAAATGCTCCTTAAAAGTGAGGATGGCAGACTCTGCCTCACATATTTGGTTGTGTCATCAGGAGGGACCAGTCCCTGGAGAAGGACATCATGCTTGGTAGAGGGTCAGAAAAAAAGAGGAAGACCCTCAATGAAATGGATTGACAGAGTGGCTGCAACAATGGGCTCAAACACAGCAATGATTCTGATGACGGTGTGGGACCAGGCAGCGTTTCATTCTGTTGTACACAGGGTGCTGAGTCGGAACAGACTCGAGGGCACCTAACAACAACATACCTGTGGTTACCTCACCTGAGAATGGGTTGTCTTTGTTATGTTAATGAGGCAGTATCAGATGTACAGTATATCTTCAGTCAAGCAAGCAAGTAAGCAGATGGAGAAAGAGAGATCAAGATCACTCAGGAGCAGAAGCTCAAAAGAGAAAAGGACCGTCCTCTAAAGCCGACAGAGAAAGACTTCCCCTAGATCAGCACCCTGAATTTGGACTTCTAGCCTCCTAAACTGTGAAAAAATAAATTTCTGCTTGTTAAAGCCAGCCACTTGTGGTATTTCTCTTACAGCAGCACCAGATAACTAAGACACACATTTCCCAACAATATGTGTACGTCAATGTGTGCACTTCCGTATGTAGGATTATGGTATACATACAGTTCTGCATCTGTTTTGCTTTATAACTCCAAACAGTTTTTATCTTACGTGCTCCCTTCCATGTCTGTACACTTAGATTTATTTCATTCTTTTTAACAACCATATTGTGTTCTGTTGTATGGACATCCCCTAATTTGACTTTTTCCTACTGAGATATAATTAGGTTGTCTCCAACTTTTTATTATTACAAATCACACTGCAACCTATATCATTATACATAAATTCTTCTACACTCTTGTGTTTCATAGAATTTACTGAACAGGAATTGTTGGGTTGAAGGATATGTGCATTCAGTGAATGAGGGTGGCTTTCCCTGCATAGTTACTGGATCTTATCAATCTTCATAATTTTTGCCTTTATAGAGGTTGAAAATTTCTTGAAACAAAATATTAACTATATTGTAAAATTTTTGAGGACAGGGACTATATCTTCTATCCATAGTATAGTTGGCACATTTCTGGATGAGTGATTTCCCTGGTTTTCACTCTTTCCATTCCTATCCATTTATTTTGGACCCTTCCATTCTAAAGCATCAATTTTTTTAGTAAGGGATGAAGGATGTCTGAAGGTTTTGCCACATTCCTTACATTCATACAGTTTCTTGCCAGTCTGGGTTCTCTCATGTGGAATAAAGGATGAGCTCTGGCTAAAGGCTTTTCACAGCAAAATTGTATGCCCCAGGACTCCTAACCTCACTTCAGCAACAGCACATAAAAAGTGTTCAGTAATTGCTGGATAAACTTTGGAGCAGAATTAAAAAGGAAGCAGAGATGTTTATATTACTTACTGCAGAGAACAGGGATCACTTTTCAGAGTAAGAACAAGATAAATGTGATGTTTCAAGTGGCCAAACCTGGCAGCAGCATTCAAGATGATTCAGAAAAAGAAAAGACATCAACAAATGCAATTAAATTTTAGTAATTCAGGCATGAAATGACGGGAACTTGGCTTAGCATCAACAGAAATGAACAGCAGAAGTGGATCTAACAGGTTATGTCAAAGAAGAAACCATGGGGAATGAGGGAAAGACTGAGAGCCAAAAACATGATATATTCTTGCTGATACCATGATTTTTAACCTTGGGACAGGTAAGTTAAGATGACAAACTTGTTTGGGACAAAAGATGGTTTCCATTTTTGGACATACTGGGTTTGAAGTGACAACAGCACACCTATATAGAGGTGTCCTCAATGCCATGGGTATACAGGAATAGAGTTCATATGGGTATATAAAACCAAGATGAAAATACAGAAAATACAGGCATTGAAGGGATAATTGAAACCATCACAATGCACTGATGGGAGTTTGTATAGAAACAGAATAGCAGTGCAAAAGACAGAGGTTCCTCAGGGATTATGGCAGAGACTGGTAGTTATCCACTGAAATCTGTTCTCCTCATTTTCGGGTACACATTAGACTGTATTTCCCAATCTCCATTAGATTTGGTTGAACAAAGTGACAAAAGTCTCCCCTGTATGGGAATGAGAGTAAAAGTGATGTGAATCACTCCAGGCCAAGCTCATAAAAACCTCCCAAATAAGCTCCTCTGTGCTCTTCTACTGCTGGCTAAATGCAGATGATGACGAGGCCCTAAGGGATGGGGCAGCCATAGTGTGCCTGGGTCCCTGAATTGCCAGCTGGAGAAGAACTGTGCACTGATCTAAACAATTCCCCCAGACCAGTATATGAGTGAAAAACCAAATTTTAGAGTCTACTCGGTACAGTAGGTTAGTTTATCTCAACAAAGGCAGAAATGATACATCTGCATTAAAAAAGTATATTGATGAGAAGCAATGAAAAACCAAAAAGAGACAAAGAGACAAAAATTATTAAACTAGTTGGTTGAGGAAAGAAGGTGGTGAGGTCTGTATAATCTAATGCTGCTGTGTAGAACAGCACCATAAGAACACAAACTGTGGCATCAGAATCACACTTGAATTCCACCAAGTAGTAGCTAACTAACTATACAACTTTCTAAACATATAAGCCTTCTTTTCCTCATCTATAAAATGGAATAATGTAGGCAGAGGACCTTACAAAGAGACCAACTCAGTAAATAGTTGTCATTATTATTGTTCTTGGGAGCAATGGTAGTTCAGCGGTAGAATTCTTGCCTTTCATGTGGGAGACACAGGATCAATTCCCAGCCAATGCACCTAAAGTGCAGCCACTACTCCTCTGTCAGTTGAGGCTTGCATATTACTATGATGCTCAACAGGTTTCAGCAGAACTTCCATACTAAGACAGACTAGGCAGAAAGGCCTGGTGATCTACTTCTGAACATCAGTCAATGAAAACCCTATGGATCACAATGGTCCAATCCTGTTGTGCATGGGGTCACCGTGAGTTGGGGGTCAACCTGACAGTAGGTAACAACAACAACATTATTGTTCTTAGAAGTTGAGAAGACTATTAAAAGTCACTGGATTTGATAAGAAGGCATTCTGTGGTGATTTTTAAGAGTCATAAATTATCTGGTACAAAAAGTTAAATTGTACAAATTAAAAAGAATCAGAACTGAAGTTGTAATCACAGAACAAGATGTCCAAAAAAATTAAAAATGGAATGATTGAAAGTGAGACCCATGTTAAAAGGACATAGGAACCCAGTGACAAGCACTGTATTTAATGAGGAAAGACCCATGTATATCTGAATGCACAGGGGAAACTGATCAGGGCAAGGTTTGAATGCTCAAGAGGGAAAATCATGATAGTCAGGAAAAACAATGAAGAAGGTTAACCTTAATGAGAAGGGCACCTCTTTTCCTCTGACTCCAGAGAGACTAATAATTAGTAAGATGCAAGCACAGGGAAGAAGTAACAGAGGAGGTGGAATCAGGTTTCTTGTGTGTCCACAGCCAAATGGCTTCAGCCATTCCCAAAGCCTAGGAAAGGCTTTGAGGGGAACTCTCTGGAAAACATCACAAAGACCCCATCTGCCTTGCTCTTACCTGAAACTGGACCTCCTGAAATTTCTCTCTCCGACATCCATGGTTCTTCTCCCTTCTCTAACTGGGAAATCACACCAGGTTTGGAAAGCTGATATCCTGCTCATGGAGAAAAGAAGACTGTATGTGCTGAGGTCAAGGAGACATCCCAAGAATTTTCATAGTCCTTTGGTATTCAGGCCCTCTGAAGGACAGAGTAGAAAGACCAGGGCAGAAAGGACCACAGCAATCCTGACTTGATGTTGAGAAGGAACTAGAAATCCCTGACACAGAACCCAAAGCCCAAGCATAGCACTTACTTTAGAAATAAAGATTATTTTCAAAAGATATATTCTAGTTATAAGGGGAACCAATCCTTACCCACTGAGACCAGGTTCCCATAGTTCTCCAGCATCACCTCCCGGTACAGATTCTGGTGAGCGGGGGCTAGCTGCCTCCACTCCTCCTGGGTGAATTCCACAGATACGTCCTTGAAGGTTAACAGTTCCTAGAACATCAAATATGTTCTTTTTCAGCCAGAGTTCAGCAAGTTGTTCTGACCCTGTCTAGATGCTGAGAGATTCTAGTCAAATTTCCCTGGATACTCCTCAGTAATTGTTTGGCTGACTCCCTGCTGGAAGTTACAAAACAATTCACCGAGCATGTAAGTTGTCTTTTGCAACTTACAATTTTGGTGGAAGGGAAAACACTCATGAAATATATTAAGGAAGGTCACAGAGCAGTATATAGTAATTTAGCTTAAAGACAAAGTTCAGAAGTATTTGAGAAAGGGCAGAGGTTCAAAAGGGGCCAAGGCCATGAGAGAAGACAAGAGACCTTTGTTGGGCTGAAAGAATTGGTTAAAATCAGAACAATTTTAATAAGAGTCCTTAGTTGGGTATTTCTGTTAAGGAGAAAAGTATGAGAACATAGTATTTGAAGGAAGCATGAATTCTGCCTAGTATGGAAGATCCCTTGACCAAAGCAGACACTATGTTGTGAAGTACAATGAGAACATTTTATATTTGATCTACTCCCATTTCAAAGAGATACCTTAGCTGTTAGAATTTTGTGAAAGGAAAGTGCCAGAAGGCTGAGATAATAATAAATTCCTTAAGTATGGACAGTATCTTAAAACTTCTTATGTATTGTAAATAATTCTGGAATGCATTTCAGGCCTATCAGGCTGACATTAGCATTCACATTTATCGGATGAAGAAATGGAATTTGAGTAAGGTTAAGCACATGAGATTAAATCCTGTACTATGACACAATACAGGGGTAACTAGCACAACTTGTACAAGGAAAGGTCATGGAAGCTCCATAGACATATCCAAACTCCCTGAGGGACTGAATTGCTGGGCGGAGGGCTGTGGGGACCATGGTCTCGGGGAACATCTAGCTCAATTGGCATAACACAGCTTATAAAGACAATGCTCTACATTCTACCTTGGTGAGTAGTGTCTGGGGTCTTAAAAGCCTGTGAGCAGCCATCTAAGATACTCCACTGGTCTCATCCCTTTGGGAGCAAGGGAGAATGAAGAGAACAGGATACAAGGAAAAGATTAGTCCGAAGGACTAATTGTCCACAGCTGCCAAGGCCTCCACCGGACTGACTCCAGTACAGCTAGATGGTGCCCGGCTACCACCACTGACTGCTCTGACCAGGATCACAACAGAGGGTTCTGGACAGAGCTGGAGAAGGATGTAGAACAAAATTCTAACACACACACAAAAAGACCAGATTTACTGGCCTAAAGGAGACTGGAGAAACCCCGAGAGTATGGTCCCCAGACAACCTTTTAGCTCAGTGGTAAAGTTATCTCCGAGGTTCACCGTTCAGCCTGGGAGTGGACAGCCCCGTAAAACCAAATGAGACTAACGAGGTACAGCAGTCCAGTGACAAGGGCCAGAAGGCAGACGGGGACAAGGAAGCTGGTGATAGGGAACACAAGGTTGAGTAAGGATACTGTTGATGTGTTGTGAGATTGTTAACCATTGTCAGAGGGCAACATTTGTGTAACTGTTAAATGAGAAACTATTTTGTTCTATAAGCCTTCATCTTAAGTGAGAATAACAGCACAATTGGAAGAGCGTAGTCAATGTCACTGAACTGTGCATGTAGAAATTTTTGAAATAGTGTATCTTTGGCTATGTGTATTTTCACCAAAAAAAAAAGGTTGAGAAGTTAGGTTAGAGGGTTGATATGTTGTGGGGTTGTTAACCAATGTCATAAAACAATATGTGTACTACTGTTTCATTAGAAACTATTTGTTCTGTAAGCCTTCACTTGAAGTACAACAAAAAAATAAATTAAAAAAAAAAAAATCCTGTACTATGTGATTCTGGAAGCCAAGATCACTCCATTTTAGAACTGATTCTCTAATAATGTCTCCCTCTGTCTTAGTTAGGAGCCCTGGTGGCACAGTGGTTAACCACTTGGCTGCTAACCAAAAGGTCCGTAGTTTGAATCCACCAGCCACTCCTTGGAAGCCCTATGGGGCAGCTCTACCCCGTCATATAGGGTTGCTATGAGTCAGAATCATGTGGATCAAAATTCAAAAGGTCCTTAGTTATTTAATGCTGCTATAGCAGAAATACCATAAATGGGTGGCTTTAACAAACAGAAATTTATTTTCTCACAGTTTAGAAAGCTAGAAGTCCGAACTCAGGGTGCCAGCTCTCTCTGTTGAGAGGCAGCTTTCTCTCTGTTGGCTCTGGAGGAAGGTCCTTGTCTCTCTGAGCTTCTGTTCCTGAGTGATCTTCATATGGCTTGGCATCTCTCTTCCTTCATCTCTGCTTACTCGCTTGCTTATTTAATCTCTTTTTTTGTCTCAAAAGAGATTGACTCGAGACACACTCTAATCCTGGCTATTAACGTAACAAAATCCCAAATGGAATTATAACCACAGGCATAGAAGTTAGGATTTACAACACATATTTTTTGGGGACACAATTCAATCCATAACACCCTCTGTACAGGTTTTCTCTGACTATAATTTTCCTTTTGTTTCTCTTATGCTTCTGAGGTTTGGTAGTGATAGAGTTCTGCCAGCTCTACTGGTTTTTTTGCTTAGCTTATTTAAGATATACATTGTTAAACTGCTCTTATAAGTTTCCCTTCCTTCTGTGCTCAGCCTATTTAGTTTGTGCCCTTCATGACCTGCCAGTATATTCTCTACTTATTGCTCTTTTCAGCTACAGTTTTGAGTTCTACTCCAGGACTCAATCAAAAGTCCTTTCTTAAAGGTCACTAGTGAAGTATATAAATCTCTAATATCAGAACCTGACTGTTCATGTTTAAATGTTGCCTAAAATATTTTACATCTGCCTTTCCCCAGATGATATCCATGTGTTTTTAAGGGCAAGAAGTACATTGCACACTTTTTTCACACACAGCCCCAGCGCTGGCAAAATTTTTAAATTTGTTGGATAAATGGACAGGGTTTGTCTAGGAACAAGGTTGCTGAGGAAGGTCACTACCAGTGGGGGAAATTACTTGCGCAGTCAACCCATGTGGCCTGGTTTCCTGAAGAAGGTCAGGCTAAGAAAATCCACTCCAGGTCGAGTCAGAGAAAGTCAAAGTCCAGGGCTCTTAAAATCCGAGAAACAATTTCAAGATAGTGACAGGAAACTCCAACCCACCTGGTATTCTGCTGTTGGGGGCCCAGGGATCACTTTATTCTCTATACTTTCTCCCTGAGTCTCATCAGCATCCTCGGATAGCAGAGCTGGGAAAGGAAAAGAGCCATGAGGTTTGCATCTCCCAAATCCCCCAACAGAAAAACTGCCTACAGTCCTGGTGAATGTGGCTCCTCCCCAACACAACCAGAGAGGCAGACATTTAGAGGGACAACAGCAGCCTGAAGCCTTCTCAATGTGGAAGACCTGCAGCATGTTCTCTGGGCTTCACTATTTCCCAGTGGTCAATGCTGGTCCAGAAGCGCAGATTTATCATGCCACTCCTTTACTCAAAAATCTTCAGTGGTTCCCTACCAACAAGAAAGGGAAATCCATACACTTCACCATGGACTTCAAGACCCTCCATAACCCGGCCGAAGCTTTTTCTCTAAATGTTATCTCCTTTTAAATAACATACTTCATCACTGAATACACACACCCACACACATCCTAAACTTCAGTAAAACCAAACTACCTTGATAGTACCCACCTCAGTACTTTTCTGCCAAGTCTTAATAGTGAAAAACTGAGTAATATCCTTCAGCATCAGTTCAAGTGAAGTTTTCTCAGACACCTTTAATGAGCAGACTTCCTCTCCCCTGTACTCCCAAAAAGCTCAGTTTTTATACCCCCTACTGTGGCATCTATCTCAGACTGCCTCCTATTATATTTATTTATCTCTCTCAACTGAGTATTAGTATAGTATACGGGTAGAACTGTGTCTTGTTTACCTTTTTTCCATCTGCTAAAGTACTAAGTATAATCCTTGCAGGATTGCTAGAATTAAAAGAAATACTGGCTGAATTTGAGGCAATTAATATAAACTAGGAATTAAAGTACATGAATTGCTATCCTTGCATTTGTTTATAACTTTTTATCATGAATACTGAATACTCATAAATCTATATTCAACAATCGTTAACATTTTGCTATATGTATCTACCTATATATTTTTTAATCATTTCAAAGTTGCAGACATGATATTCATCCCTAAATAATTCAAATAGGATCTTCTCCTACATAACCATAATACCATTTATAGCACCTAAGAAAACTGACAATAGTATCATGTAAATATTCAGTCCACGCTCAGATTTTCCCTACTATCACCAAACTGCCTTTTATTCTGGATTTTTTTCAAACCAGGAACCAATAAAATTCACATATCCAAACTGGTTGTTACATCTAGTCTCTTTTATTCTAGAACAGTACCTCCCCTTTTTTCATGACATTAACTTTTTAAGAGACCACCACGATCTGATTGTATCCTCATGGTGGGGTTTACCTTATTTCTCCATCTCCTGTATTTTCTGTAAACCAGAAGTTCGGTCTTTAACCTTAATTTAGATTTAGGTTAAACATTTTTGGCAGGAATACTTCATGGATGATACCATGTGCTTCAAACTGTTATCATCCAGAAGACACAAAATGTCAGGTTGTCCCATACTGAGACAGTGAAGATGGTGACCACCAGGTCTCACCATTGGAAAAGTATGCTCTTTCCTTTGCATTTAGCAACTCATCTGTCGGGGCAATACTTTGACACCATGTGAATATCCTGTTCCCGACCAATTTTTTCTACACTTATTAACAGGTATTTTCTGTGAAGCGCTTCCCCTCACCAACAGGAGATGAACTAAAAGGCAGGGTAGATGCATCAGTCACTCCCATAATAATCTATCTGCAAACTAAGGAATTGGTGACAATGCCGACAAATGAGTATTCCTCCCTTTCTTTCTCTATTTGAAGTGTCATCATGAACTTGTGAAATTTTATTTATTCAAGGTGTTACAATCAATTTGGCCATTAAAAATGTCCCAAATTTGCCCAGTGGGGCCCCTTGAACTTGGCTCCTGAATTCTTTCGATAAATTACTGTTAGTCTTTGAGGTCTTCCTTGCCTTCTGGCATAAAATACTCTAGGCTCACCTGGTAATTTCCCTGCTGTCCTCTACTTCTGTCCAAGTACCTGTGTGACCCTGGGCAAGTTCACATTTCCTCACTGTAAAATAAGGATAATCAGGCAAGTCCTTCCTGCTACACATGTCCATGAGGAAGATGAAAAGTAACACATATGGTCATGACACTGAAATATTGGTTTTAGACTGAACTGACCACAATTATCCAGGAAAACCTCAGAGCAAGAGCCATAACCAAGAACTTGACAGCCCTTCTTTTTCCCAACTGTCTCCCCAAGAGATGCCTCCACCCAGGTGTCTACCTTCCTTCTCACATGAGGAAACTGCCTTTCCTCTACCCCACCCATCAGTCTAATTCTCACCTCCTTCAAATATTTTAGTCACATCCTCCCACAGGGGCATCCCCTCCTTGGCCTTCTTTGGATGGTGCAACTTCACCCAGGTGCTGGCCTCAGTGGGCAAGGTGATCAGGAGCTGCTGCAGCATGATGAAGCCCGCACTCCCCTCTGGCTTCAGCCCAAAAGGAGGAGTACTCTGACTGTGCTTGTCCACTTCTGATTAGGACACTGGCAGAGCCTCTGGCTAGACAGAGGCTTCCCAGATGTAGGGCTTCCTCTGATCATCAACTCCTGCTCCTCAATGTCCTCCACTCTCAGGGACCTGGGGACCATACAATATCAAAATCTTGGGTCTTTTTTCAGTCAGTGACTCTCAAGGAACATCTCCCATCCTGGGCTCCATCTGTCTCCTCAGCAGGCAGCCAGAGGCTCCAGGTATTCATACTGAGCAGCCACCTCTGGAGATGCTGGGCAGAAAATATTAGAATCATAAAATATTAGAGTCATAAAATACTAGAGTCAGTCAAAACCAAAAACCAAACCTGTTGCCATAGGACCCCATGTGTTCCAGAGTAGAACTCCTCCATAGCATTTTCTTGGCTATAATCTTTAAAGAAGCAGATCACCAGACCTTTCGTCCACAATGCTATGTAGGTTGAACCACCAACCTTTAGGTTAGCAGTTGAGAAGCACAAGCTTTTCATGCCACCTGGGGACCTTGAAGGTTCAGTCACACAGTCAGAATTCGCGAAACTGCACAAATCACTGAAAAAAAAATTTACAAAAGGTATGCGGAGACTGAGGATATACACAGCCCTCATGGTCCCAAATACTGTGCTGCTGTCACGGAGCATAAAAAGGTGAATAAACCCCAATTCTTTGATTTAAGCAGTATTATGTTTAAAACAGTACCAGATTTGGAATAAAAAAGTATCTAGGTTTGAATCCCTGCTCCTTTACTTGTTGACCGTGGCAAGTCACCTAACCCCTCTACTCAGGTTCCCTGCTCCCTAAGTGGAGAGGATAAACCTCTCTCCCAGGGCTGGGACCGGACGGCCCGGCGCAGCCCTGCCCTGCCCTGCCCTGCCCTGCCCTGCCCTGCCCTGCCCTGCCCTGCCCTCGGGGCCTTTGTCTGAGCCCGACTCCGGGGCCGCTGGGCGAACCGCACGCGACGCGGCAACCGCAGGCGAGGTGGGGCTCGCGCTTCCCTGCTCGCCCCCCTCCCCAAATCCCGCAAGCCCCCAACTCACCCCTCTCACCGGCTCGGACCGCAAAACCTCGCCCTCCCGCCGCAACCGGCTAGTGTCCGCGCAGCTCTCTACCGCCGCGGGTGATGCTCCCAGATAAAGCCGCGGCGGGCGGCCCAGAATCCAGTGCGCCTGCGCGACATCGGCCTCCGCGCATCGTTCCCAGTGTCCTCTGGGGCAAGCCTTTTCCCGGTTCCAAGGCCCCTCCCGGGATTCTCGGACGAATTGCTGCCGCCCTTCCTCCTTGGGGGCATCCGGATATCCGAACCCAATTTGAACCAGTCCCGCTCCTGCGGAAGGAGATGGACCCTACTTTTTTTGTGTCCCCAGAGACTGCCGAATAGAACCACTTTCTTCTGCCAAGATTATGAAAGAGATTGTTTCTATGTGGAGATTTGAAACCCTTGACAAACGGGAAAGATCAGTCATTTCTTCGTTGAAACAACATTCGTGTTAAAGAATCCATACCACTTTTATTTAATAATATGAAGGTAGAAAAAGACTGGAAAGGGAATGGAATCCAGGCTTTTATTAAAAGAATACCACTATGAGGTAGGTTTTTGTTTGTTTGGTTTTTTTTTTTTAGTATTCAATAAAAGTTCTTACGTTTACTGCTTTTCTTATAGTTCTGAAATGCTAGAAAATAAACAACAACAAAATAATTATTACCCATAATCTCACCAGATAACCATTGTTAACACAGCCTTTCCTACACACACACACACGATTTATGTTTTTTCATGCATTTTTATATATTTTCTACAAAAGTGTAGTTATACTGTACATGCTGTTTTATTGCTGGGTTTTCTTCCCTCAAAAAAATAGGATTGCATCATTCCAAATATACTTCTACATCAATACCCACCACCCACTCAGTGCAGTCGATTCCGACCCATAGCGACCCTATAGGACACAGTAGAACTGCCTGGTAGGGTTTCCAAGGCTGTAAATTTTTGCCGAAGAAAGCTGCCGCATATCTGTCCCTTGGAGCACCTGGTGGGTTGAGACTGCTGTTGGGTTACCAGCCGAGGGCCTAACCACTGCAACACAACACCAGGGCTCCTTCTACATCAATAGCTTATAAAAATAACAATGTACAAACTAGAATAGAGCTATAGTAATTGTGGAGCCCTGGTGGTACAGTGGTTAAGAGCTACGGATGCAAACCAGAAGGTCTGCAGTTCAAATCCACCAGCTCTCCTTGGAAGTGCTATGGGACAGTTCTACTCTGTCCTATAGGGTCACTATGAGTCCAAATCAACTTGACGGCAATGGGTTGTTTTTTTTTTTTTTAATAGTAATTGCTAACACTCATATGGTGTTTATAGAGTATGAGGTTTTGTTCTAAGTGCATTACACATTTCAACTGATTTAATCATCGTAACAACCCCTTGAGGTCAGTACTATGATTATTCCCACTTTTCAGATGAGGAAACTGAGGTTTGGAGACATTAAGTAACTTGTCCAAGGTCATACAGTACACAAGTGGGGAACCCAGGCAATCTATGCTCTTAATCACTACTCAACAAAAATACAGCACAAAATATAGTAAAATGTTAGTGGTAGAATCTAGGTAGTGGTATATGGGTGCTCACTGTAAAATTCTTTAAACTTTTCTGTATGTTTGAACATTTTCATAATAAAAAGTTGGAAAATATAGCATAGCTAACAAGAATTATTCAGGACATTATAAATAAAACTACAAAAGTTATTGGTTTAGCTACCAAGGCCTCCACCGGACTGAGACCAGTACAGCTAGATGGTGCCCAGCTACCACACTGACTGCTCTGACCGGGATCACAACAGAGGGTTCTGGACAGAGCTGGAGAAGGAGGTAGAAAAAAATTCTAACACACAAAAAAAAAGACCAGATTTACTGGCCTGACAGAGACTAGAGAAACCCCAAGAATATGGCCCCCAGACACCCTTTTAGCTCAGTGGTGATGTCACTCCCGAGGTTCACCGTTCAGCTGGGGATTGGACAGCCCCATAAAACAAAACAACTAATGAGGCACAGCAGTCCAAGGACAAGGACTAGAAGGCAGAAGGGGACAGGAAAGCTGGTGATAGGGCACCCAAGGTTGAGTAAGGATGGTGTTGACATGTAGTGGGGTTCTTAACCATTGTCGTAGGGCAATATGTGATACTAACTGTTTAATGAGAAACTATTTTGTTCTGTAAACCTTCATCTAAAGTGAGAATAGCAGCACAACTGGAAGAACATAATCGATGTCACTGAATTGTACATGTAGAAATTTTTGAAATGGTGTATCTTTGGCTATGTATATTTTCACCAAAAAAAAAAAAAACAAAAAAACGGTCCTCCAAGGCCTAGAAGGGAGCGTGTTGACATGTCGTGGGTTTGTTCACCAATGTCATAAAACAATATGTGTACTGACTGTTTAATGAGAAAATATTTGTTCTGTAAACCTCTGCCTAAAGTACAATTAAAAGAAAAGGGTGGGGGGAGAGAAAAAAAAAGTTATTGGTTTAAGTGTAGAGAATAGTGAGATGTACCATGTTCATGGACTGGAATAAAACATTCTAAATATGTCAACTTTCCTCCAGTTAACATAAACTTTAATTCACCCCAATCAATATCTCAGCTTTTCCTTTTACTAAACTAAATGATTCTAAAGTTTAGCTGTCGTGGTAAATATTCCAGAATAGCCAAGAATACTTTCCAACAATAAAGCAGGCAAACTTGCCCTGTCAAATATTATCTTGTATTATAAACCAAACCCATTGCCGTAGAGTGGATTCCACATAATAAAAGAATAATAAGAGAATACTTCAGGCAACTCAATAGCAACAAATTTTAAAATCTAGAGGATATAGATTATTTCTTTGCAAAATATAAATTACTAAAATTGACCAAAATAGTGGAAAGCTTGAATAGACCAAATAACATAGCAGTGATTAGAAAGGTGATTAGAAATTTACAATGAGAAATGCACAAGACTTAGATGAATTCATTGATGAATTTTACCTAAATTTTAAAATACAAAAAAAATTATGTTTTTAAAATATTCCAGACTAAGGAAAAAGACGAGTGCTTCTTAATTCATTTAATGACATAAATAGAACTTTAATGCTAAAACATGCTTTTTTTAAGTAAAAACAACTATAGATAAATTTCATGTATGTCTATAGATGCAGATAATCTAAATAAAATATTAGCAATACATTAAATAAATCATACATATAAAACATATGATCAAGCAAGGTTTTCTCAGTAATATAAGGGTGGTTAGATACCAGGAAATACAGTAACATAATCCATTACATCAAATTCAAGCGGAAAAACCATATGATCATGTCAGTTGTCACTGAAAAGGACATTAATAAATTTCAGCAGTCATTACTAATATATCTTTATTTATTTAATAAACAAATAGTTATAGATTTCTTATCATTTGCCAATTATTATTCTAGTATACTAAAAACTGTAAGCAAAATAGGAATAGAAGGAAACTACTTAAATATAACAGACTACAAAAAAATAATAAATAGTATCCTAAATTGTGCAACACTAAACCATTCAAATAAAATCAGAAACTTGCTATTGAATATATTTTTATAATGAAGAAGTGTGCTTTAGGTGAAGGTTTACATAGCAAATTGGTTGTCCAATCAATTCATACACAAATTGTTCTGTAACATCGGTTGCAATCCCTTCAGTGTGTCAGCACTCTCCCCCGTTTCCTCCCTAGGTTCCCCATTTCCATTCTTCCAGTTTCGCTGTCTTTCCCTGCCTTCTCATCTTTGGTTTTGTGCAAATGTTGCTCTTTTGGTCTCATATAGTTGATTATTCTGAGGAGCACATTCTTCATGGGTGTCATGGTTTGAATTATGTCCCCCCAAAAATGTGTGTATCAGTTTGGCTAGGCCATGATTCCTGGTACTGTGTGATTTTCCTGTATGTTGTAAACCTGCCTCTATGATGTTAATGAGGGAGGATGGGTGGCAGTTGTGTTAGTAAGGCAGGACCTGATCTGCAAGACTGGATTGTGTCCTGAGGCAATCTCTTGAGATATAAAAGACAGAAGTGAGCAGTGAGATGGGGGGACCTCATACCATCAAGAAAGCAGTGCCGGGAGCACAGCGCGTTGGACTGGGGTCCCTGCACCAAGAAGCTCCTAGTCCAGGGGAACACTGAAGAGAAAAAGGCAGACAGAGAGAAAAAGCCTTCCCCTGGAGCTGACACCCTGAATTTGGACTTTTAGCCTACTTTGACTGTGAGGAAATAAACTTCTCTTCATTAAAACCATCCACTTGTGGTATTTCTGTATGGCAGCACTAGATAACTAAGACAATGAGTGTTATTGTTTATTCTATAGTCCCATGTATTACTTGTATGAAAGGTGGCCTCTGAGCATGCC